TCTAACTATTTTTAGTTTTTAAGTTAATTGCAAACATTTTATACCAATTAATAAGAGTAATAGATTTAAGCTGCTGCTGCTATTTCTTCTCCTTTTTGTTCCAATTCTTTATTGAAATTATTATAAATTTAATCAGGTTATTTTTAAAATTAAGAGAAGAATCTGTTTATAAATAAATCTCTTGAATTTTATTATCCTAAATTTTTTATTATTAGGTCATTTATTACTATTCTTAATTAATTACAGTGTAAATCTAAGTCTTATTAATATATATTACAAAAGTTATTAAGTAAAATAGTATCATATTTTTTTAGATCAGGATATTCTAATTTCTCAGAGGCTAATTTTATATCTTTATACTAACTAGCATTTATTTTTTCATCATAATCGCGTATTAGAATACAAAACTTTTTGTCATTTTCTTCTAATAACTTTATAATTTTAAGTAGACTTTCAGTTTATTTATTTTTAAAGATACTTGCATTGACTTATATTATGTAATAAACAAAGAAACCTAAAATATATTACTCATTTAAGAGACTTGCATCACCATGAAAATCAGCTAAAAAATATTATCTTTTATTCTATTAGAAAATGCTATTAGATTAAATTTCAGCACTCTACATAAAGCTATAAGTACCATCACTAATAGCAAAATTAGTTATAAAAGTATTATTTATAAGTGTAGATTTACCTTTCTAAAATCCTACACCAATTGAAGCAACTACTTTATCAAATTAGTTGATTAACCAAAAGGATTAGTAAAAAAGTTCTTGTTACAATTTATAGGAATTATTTTAAGAAGGAGGTACTATTCTAGTAATTAGTAAAGGCACAGGATTAGCAAATCCTAGCATTATTGTAAGTTTAAACATAGACTCAGAGTCAGATGATTGCATCATATATTCTGGTACAGTTTTTTTGTTAATTAAGATTTTATCATCCTTTTCTTATTTTTTAAGCTTAATATTATCTTATATGTCTTTGTATATGCTATCAAGATTTTGATTTCTTTTAGATAAATATATTAAGAGGTCAAAGAGTCTCTAAGAAAAGCTCAGATCTCCTGAAATGTATAAATCAGCTATTTCTTCAACCCAATTTTTTATTGATGTTGTTTTTTCTTATGAATTGTGATAATTTAATAATTGGTTGATATCTATTTTTTAACTCACTTAGAATAATTTATCTAGTTTATTTTAAAGTTCAAATTATTTGTCGAAATCTAAATAAAAGCATACACTTTTATCTTATATTTCATAAAGGTCTCCTCCATAAACTTTCTTTAACAATTCACTTTTTTTTAGCTTTTCTTCAATATCAATTTTAGATTTATTATTTGTCCTATTGTATTCTTGATCATTCAGTTAGTAAATAAATTTTAAGCCTGTCTTTAAGATTTATTTTGACAAATATTAAATTTACTCGCTTTCTAATTGATGTTTTAACAATACTTTTTTTAGAATGAATGATATTAATTTTAATTTGGTTTCATCATTATGTGAACATGCAAAGAGTAACAGTTAAATGTAGTAATTTTCTAGATTTTATAGCTT